AGTTTAAGAGCTCTAAACTGAACTGACTGATAAGACGAGAGCTCTAAACTGACACTGAACTGACTGCCAAGCAATCAGTCAGTCAGTCAGTCTCATCAGTTTGGATTGATTGTTAGCAACTCTGATCCAGATGGTATTGGCCCCGTTGGCCAAGCAGGTCCTACCATACGCCTCGCTGGAAGATCTGGACAACAAAGTCCTTGAAGGCGAGTCAGTCATTGTCAGTCTCGTTGATCTGGAAGCTCCAGTTTTCAAAGACCTTACATCCGAGAGATGGTACAAGTTCAAAAAGCTCTTTGAAACAAAGCGAGAGATACTGTGGCTCACCAGCGGCCGTCTGGAGGATGAGCCATACTGCAACATGACAGTTGGTTTTGGTCGATCTGCGATGCACGAGGAAGAGACTCTTCGCGTCCAATACGTGGATGTGGCAAATGTCGATGGGCTCGATGCTCAGAAGATTGCAAAATACCTTGTTCGCTTCACTTCGACCGTTTTGGATGACAAAGACATTCTGTACACCAAAGAACCCGAGATCATCATTGACGCGCAGGGGCAAGAGCGAGTGCCAAGGCTGTTCACCATCACGGACGCCAACAGCCGTCTCAACTCCACCACGCGGCCGATCTTCGACCAGGTTGACATCAGCAAGGACGTCGTCAGTCTAGAATACGGCAAAGACGGGCCAAACTTCCGACGGTTGTCGCGATACGAATTGGTAGAGACAGCGACCACAAGGGACGAGCTTATGGAGTTGCGTCTTACGTACTCCACTGCATCGGCGATTAGGTGTCCGACTGGTCATCATTATCTTGCTCTTGGGTACGACACCTACGGGGCTCAACGGCTTGCTTTAACTAGCTCCCTGGCCTCTGTACTGCGCATCCCACGCGAATCGACCATTCTGTGCGAACCATCTGGTATCCAGGAAGCTGATTACCTTGACCTGGTCGGAGCCGAGCTTATCGCCGTGGCCATTGTGGACTCCCTGTTCACGGGTCAAAAACTAGCCGTACATAATGCCCCTGAATCTATCGTTCGGGCTATTCTCGCCCATGTTGTAACCAAGGGCGTGAAGGTCACCCTCACAGTGGACTCACAGGGCATACCTGTGTCGCCAGCCGTCGCTTCGCAGATTCGGATACCAATGTTCCCCGCACGCGCGGACATCGAGGGCGTCCTACCTTCTGACCTCGTGTGCTTTGTCGACTTCTCGGCTTCGAACCAAGCTGAGAACGTGGCGATGATGACTTCGTATCTTCCTTCTTATTGCCGGAAAGAGAGCCTGAGCACCATTTTCTCAACACATGGAGTAGACACTGGTGCTCCCAAGGATGTGGTGGGACAGCTTCTGGCTAGGACTGTCAGCATGGCTAAGGGACGCGGCGTTTCTACATCATCTACACCACTGAGTCTTGAGGCCCTTGCTCAGGGAGGACGATATGCAGACTCTCTAACGATCATTGAATGGGCGGGATCATGCACTGCGGTCCCTGCACGTGTCACTCGGTTTGAGTCAAACCAGCTCTTCAAGTCTGACAAGACGTACTGGCTAGTCGGTTTATCTGGCGCGCTAGGCATCTCCCTGTGCAACTGGATGATTGAGAGAGGCGTGCGCTATCTTGTGCTAACCAGCCGGAATCCCAAGATTGACCCGCGCTGGATCGAAAACCATGAACGAAATGGTGTTGTCATCAAGATACTGCTATGGTATATACTCTGCTTTCCTATCCGAACTATCTCTTACTAACGTACTCATCTCAGTGACGTGACTGACGAAAAGGCCATCAACGACGTTCATGCCGAGATTGTGACGACGCTTCCTCCCATCGTCGGACTTTTGAACGGCGCTATGGTTCTACGAGACGTGTCGGTGCGCAACATGGAATTTGACCAAGTCACCGATGTCATCAGACCAAAGGTGCTTGGCAGCATTCATATCGATCGCATCTTTCACGATATTGACCTCGACTTCTTCGTGCTTCTATCTTCGATCAACTGCGTGATCGGAAACGTCGGTCAAGCCAACTACGCTGCGGCCAACATGGGAATGATTGGAGTTGCAGGCAACCGGCGCAAGCGTGGTCTTCGCTCGTCTGTCGTCAATGTCGGCGCCATCATCGGTGTTGGTTACATCACACAGTCCGATCGCCAACTTGATGTGACAGTGGCGAAGACAGCCATGATGCATTTGTCAGAGCAAGATTTCCACCAGATCTTTGCCGAGTGCATGGAGGCAGGTCACCTGGACAACCCCAGTGGCCCGGAGATCTCGACCGGTCTACTCCAAATCACTCCGAATACCATTGACATTCCGCCATGGTACTCCGACCCCAAGTTTGCCCGTTTCCGCATCAACAAGTCTGGTGATAGTGGCGAAAAACCGGGGTCGACAAACTCGGCATCCAACCAGGAGCTGCTGCAGGCGTGTCGCTCCCCGTCCGATGTTGCAAATGTGATCAAGCAGACCTATTGCGCCCAGCTACGCAAGATGCTGCAGGTCTCCACCGTTGACGACGACCTGATGATGATGCGAGGTGTGGATCTTGGTTTCGACTCGCTGCTTTCAGTCGACGTACGCTCGTGGTTCCTCAAGAACTTCCGCGTCAGTATTCCGGTCCTCAAGATCATGGCCAACGATGTGCGCATGTCTAGCTTGGTCGAGCTAGCCGCTGGAAGCATCCCCGCGGAACTCGTGCCACAGGCTCAGCAATTGAACGTCGTACCGACTGGCGCTTCGACACCGAATACTGAGAACAGTGAGCCGTCGGCTCGAACCAGTGACGCTGATACGACGAGCACCCGCACTACTCTACCTAACACTTCGGGCGCAGTGACTCCTGACAAAGAGGTCAAGGCCAAGTCTGCCAGCCCTCCGACGGTAGACTGGTACTTTGAGACCACCCCGCCTGAGCCCTTTACTATCGACAGGCTCATGGATGCGCCCAAACCAAAGGGGAATCCAGAAGTTGTCGTCCTCACTGGCTGCAGCGGCCTGCTTGGCCACCACCTTCTCAACGCGCTCGTGGCGCAACCGTCGATCCGGAAGATCATCTGCCTTGCAGTCCGACGCCTGAACGAGCGCATCGGAAGTGGAGAGATTCCCGCACCAAGCGAGCGCATCGTGTACTACGAAGGTGACCTCACATCTACCTATTTCGGCCTAGACATTGCGACCTGGGCGTCTGTCTTCCGTGAGACTGACGCAGTCATCCACAACGGCTCCGACACGTCCCATCTGAAGTACTACTCTGCACTGAAGCGCGCAAATGTCGACTCGACAAAACAGCTCATCGCCACCTGTCTACAGCGCATGATTCCCCTTCACTACGTTTCATCGGCTGGTGTAGCACTTTTCGCCGAGCTGGAAGCCTTCCCACCGATTTCATGCACCAAGACGGGTAAGACACCACCAGCCGACGGCACGCACGGCTACATGTGTGGAAAATGGACGTGCGAGAAAATGCTCGAGCGAGTCTACGAAGAATACGGTTTGCGCATTGTCATTCAACGTCCGTCGACCATTATCCGCGACGGCGAAGACGCAACTGTTGAGCGTGCGGGCTTCGATTGGGTCAACTCGCTCCTGCACTTTGCACACAAGACGCAGACGGTGCCGAGAGTTGATTACAACGCCGGCGCTTTCGATCTCGTGTCTGTCGAAACGTGCTGCGAGGATGTTGTTCGAGAGTTACCAGACCAAGGGCGCCATGGCATCACGTACGTGAACAACGTGGGTGATGTAGTGATTCCCATGGCGCAGATGGCGGATGTGGGGTTGAGCAAGGTTGGGAAAAGGTATGAAGTTTTGCCTATGGAACAGTGGACGGCGATGGCGGTGGAGGCGGGTATGCATCCTGCTGTTGCGGCGTTGATTGAGACTTTTGATGAGCCCGGGGTAGAGAGATACCCGGCGCTGTTGAAGTCGGGTGCGTAGATACCCAGTATTCCGCCTCTTTGACCTACCGAGAATCGAACTTTAGATGACCAATGTTGTTGTTACAACCGCGATCTGAACTAAGGTCGCAACTATCTATACCTGTTTTGCGAGCAATAATGTATAGGGCCGAAGTCTCGTTGTATCGTCTGCGGGCAAAGACGCAACCGATCGGCGTCATTTCGAACGCAGCGACGACATGGTTATTTACTTTCACCGTACCTTATATGTACAACACCGATTCTGGTAGCCTATGTGCCCGCACTAGATTTATGTTCATGGGAAGTCTAATGCTTCTGCTGATTGGCTCTTGATTCCTTGTGCCGGATCTGCATGGTTTGAATACAAATGAAGTCGACTGGTTGTATGCACAGAAGACTTTGCTAAGACTTTTCCAGCAGCATGCCGATAGCGCAAAGATCAGCGCAGCAGAGAAGGTACACAATACCGATGTATAAACTAGGGGGGTGTGCAGTGTGTTATTTAGACTGATCACCCTTTGTCCTCCAGATATGCATTTTCGACCTCTGTTATTGTTAATTTGACTTGTGTGACAGAATATCACGCTAGCTACCGTAGCTAAGCGTGGAGACCACGCTAAAACGTGATTTTGCTCAGCTCCAGACGGCTCACCACTTGGCGTGGTACGCGTCTAAAACAGGCAGCTATTTCAGCCCGCAATTGCCTCGGTACAAACCTAAGGCAGCCATCAAAACTTCCTATTCAACAACAACCACTGTGGGCCGCCAAGATATACTATCAAGAAGTGGCACGTATACCTCGGCCTCAGGCGCGTGTCATGGCGCAAACCAGCAGCGACCTCACCCTCTATAAAACGCCGATGCAACGGTACATTCGTCGATACAAATCATGGCAAGCATTCCTCCACCTCCGCCCCCTCTACCTAAGAGCAAAACCGATAGATCAACAACGATGACTGCTTCGGAACCCGCGTCCCATCCATTTTCAATCAAGGGTAGCACGAAGGAGGATCAAGTGTTCGAATTCCACGACATACAGGGTGGCGCTGGTACCTTATCCCTCCAGCCCATCATCCGCCATTACCTTGGCGTACCCCGGGCGCATCAAGTTCCCACGACCGATCTGTACAAAATATTGGGACGACTACGGAGCTTGCAACATACAGTTGCGAACTACAATGAGGGGGTCGTCTTATCTACACCTGCCTTCTTGCACTACTGGAGACCACGGACCTTGAATCTCTTCTCAGGCTTCGGTTTCCGTCTCAGTGGGGTTGACCAAGTCATCCAAATACCGGGGCTTGAAGACGTGATCCGGATCGTCGAGCATGCCTTTCAAGAGCAGATTGATGAAGCGCGTGACACCATCCAACGCGGTTTCATCACCTTCGAGGCACTGGGCGAATTGTATCGCCCTGGAGTTCCAGTCCAGGCAGTGATGGGCTCTGGAGATACGGCCGCAGTCTTTCTTGTCAACGAGTGTTTCTATCAAGAGAATCGGGGCTTGACAGGAGTGCAGAGGACATTCAACTGGACAATAGAGTTCGTGGCGACAATGGGTACGCACTTCACCGTAGTGAATGTGACCGAGCAATTGAATGGCTGGACAGGCGTTCGCGCAAGATCGCTATCGGAACTCACGTATACGCCGGTATCACCTGTCGAGTTGAGCGAACTGAGACAGAGAGGAGAGCGATATGTTGAGTTTGCCATTAGCGGTGCCAAATTTCTGGCATATTCTCGCGGATCATTCTACCGCCATGTGCGACCCTCACGTCCAAGCTATTCTTCTCTTGCCAGTACGTCGAGCAACCAGCTTCCTTCAGAAGGCCGTGTCATGATCGATGTAGATCGCGGCGCTCTGCTGAACCACCATCCTTGCCAGGGTATGGATGAATCAACCCTGGCCATGACGAAGACCGCCGAACGTTATCGACAGTGGCGCAACACATCATCTAGAAAGAGTTCTGCAACGGATGTACTCAATCTGTGGGAAACGGTCCCTGACGAGTTCATCCCCTACTGCTGGCCTGCTCTTGTCGGCTTTAGCTTTACTGCAAAATGCTGGGGCCACGTGTTGGTCTCAGGTCTTTCGCCGATCCAGTTCCAGGACACCGCATTCCAACATCTTGTTCTAGCCGAGGAGTACAAACACCTCATCCGTGCTCTCGTAAGATTCGGAAACGACGCCAGTGTCGAAGACATCGTTGAGAACAAACGCAGCGGCAGTATCTTCCTGCTCCACGGCCCTCCCGGCGTCGGGAAGACACTAACAGCCGAAGCTGTTGCTGAAGTCCTGCATCGCCCGTTATACTACGTTACAATGGGAGAATTAGGCACGACGGCAGAAGATATGGAACGCCGTCTCTCAGATGTGCTTGAATTATGTTCCGAGTGGAATGCTATCATAGTTCTAGACGAAGCCGATGTGTTCCTCGAACAACGCCGCACTTCCGACCTGGTCCGAAACTCGATGGTCTGCGTTATGCTGCGTCTCTTGGAGTACCATTCAGGCATTCTCTTCCTCACTACCAACCGCGTGCGTAATCTGGATCCAGCGTTTGAAAGCAGAATTACACTTGCCCTACGATATAACCATCTGACGCCCGAGGCTAGAGCCCAAATCTGGAGCAATTTGCTCAAACGGATCTCGTTACAGGTGGCAAAGGACATCGATCCTATGGTCCTTGGACAGCATGAATTCAACGGTAGACAGATCAAGAGCGCAATCAGGCTGGCGTGTGCAATCACGAAGGAACGGGACCAATCTAAGCTGACAATGGAAATTGTGAAGGAAGTAGTGAGAATCATGGAAGTTGGAAGGGCGAATATAGCGGATGACGATTCTTGGAAAATGCGCGAGGGGTAAGATAAGTCTTATTCAGGGTTTTGCATCCTGTAATAGCTAGTAAAGAGAGTAAGAATTTAAGATTTGTTCGCTAAAGGAAAACCTCCTTTCTTATATGCTCCAATAACAAAGTATCGGATACATCTGCTCTAAGAACTCTGTGGACCGGCGCACTTCCTACCTCAAGCTTGTCTCCTAACTCTGTACGCCACCTCTCCACCATAAAGGAGCCTCTTATTAGTCTAACCTAGGCAGGAAACAGCAATCTCACCATTGATGTTCCTATCGGGGGTAAGGACGGGGAGCCAGATCTCGTATTCCTTCTCACTAGGGTGTCCCTTGACCTCATAGTAGTTGTAGAGAGGCCAGAAGGTAATTTGACCCTGGTTTGGGCAGTCGACGTTGAACATGAGCCCTTCAGTGACAGTAAACGTCTCCGACTGGCTGACTTCCACACCGACGCTTGCAGAGAAAACTTCAATAGCGCCTCCCATGCTCACTGAGGTTGTAACGCTGTAGGTCTGGCTTTCGGAAACTTCGTATGAATAGTCGACCCCGCTGTTAAGGCGCAAACCAAGCGTGAAGACATCAGGGTTGCGGACGTTGAGCGCCGTGAAGCTTACGTCCCAGCTGTCATCCTCACTCTGTCGCTTAGCAATTCCAGCAGTGTCGGTGCCGCTCATGGTGTCGTTGCGCCACTCAAGGTAATCCTCCAGGCTAGAGTGGCCACTGTTCATGCCATTGGCAAAGGTTTCCACGTTGAGGCCGGGAAACTCTGCTCGTTTCATCGCGCGCTTAGTCGGGGGACCATCACCTCCCTCATCGTTGGTGACCTCCAGAAACTGCAGGGCACCAGTGAACTTGCCTCCAGAAATGAAGGGCATGCATCTGTCCCTCACGCTTGTATAGAGCTGGTGAACCTGACCATCTGTAATGGTGCGAGGGTTATTTGGGTCGTCAGACCCTGATTCTTGGAAGCAGTGGGAGATGAGGCAGTTTCCGCCGTCCCACCACCAGTGGTAGCAAGATGGCGCAGCGTTAAGCTCGCCGTTGGTGTGGGTGATGTGAGTGCTTCCCTCTAGGTTGAAAAACTTTACGGTCTCTTCACCTGGAGAAACAAAGTGTTAGATTCAGGCCACAGCAAACAGCCTAAACGAGCCGAACTTACAATCGTCGTAGTTGGGCCTGAATGCGCCATTGCATAGAGCCGCTTGGCCATGTACGAGCCCAAGACCCGCCGCGAAGGAGACGAGGGTGAAGCTCTTCATTTTGAAGAGGCTGTCGGAATGTACAAATAGAGACTCGTGTCCGTAGAGTATTCGCTGTGGTTGATAGAGAGAGCTGCTGATGAGAGAAGATGCAGGCTGGCACTACAGGACATCAGTCTGTTCTTATAGCTATCTCGTCAGGCCTCCAGACTCGTGGAGTCTCTCATAACGCCCGGCTGAGGTTACATGTGGTGAAGCACGTCCTGTTGCTACACATGCTGTTGTCATGGCCTCGCGCGGGATGATTGTCTTCAGGAACGTGCGATCCTATCTGAGCCAAGAGTGTTGATGACATTCACGACTGGACGGATCGAGATCATCGTGGGAAAGGTCTAGTTCGTGATTCGTGTCTCGGAGCCTCCGGTTGTTGGGTTTAACGTTATGGGGTGGTGATCACCCATGCGGTCTTTGCAAACAATAGCACGATGGAACATCATGAGAGTAGTTCGCATCGCCTACGACTATAGTGCCCGAAGTTCTGCAGAAGTTCATCTGGGCGCCCAGACTATTTGGGGCGAAGAGCGAGCCTTGACCTAGTACCTGAGGCTTAGCCTACGTCAGAAGGCTACCGACAGTAGCACCGAAGTGGTGCAAGGGGTACGCACATAAACGTGGTAAGCTGGAAGCCTAATAGTAAAGGCCATGGTATCGCGTCTCTGAGGCGAAGTTGTACGTAGCCTCATGGAAGGATAAATCGGCTACACGGCAGATTGACAAGGCTAGATACCCATCCCACCGGAAAACGGCACGCCTACCTACCTATATTACTGTCACTTTGTGACAAGGTGTGCATGGACCTGTTATCTCATGTTCGATCGATTCGTTGCTCCACAACAAGAGTGGACCAAGGTGGGATCGGCTGCGGCCCGCTCCTTGCTCGAGTAGGCACAGTGAGGCCGTAAACTGTCGACATGCATCCCCTTAGGGTATAGTTGTGGGGTATATCTCGCCTACTACTTTCTAAGCTTGCAAGCAAACGAACCAATCACGATGATGTCGAGCGTACAACCAACAAGGCGACCCACGTAGTCGACTTTCGCGACGCCCGTCTGCCTTGGAAATGCAAGGCTGATTATTGTCGTGTATGATGGAACCAGCGCATCAGGATGTAGCATTCTCGCACGACAGTCCAGTCACGATCCAGGTGCTGCTACAATTGGTAAGGTCGTGATGCGCACGAGGCAGGAGGCCTAAAGTAGGAATGCCTTACCCCAACAATTCTGCTGATGAACCCGTTGGCACAGACATCGGCTCGTGCGCCGAATTCTCCAAGAGCTCTCGTGTCGCCTGGTATGGCGATATCACCTTATACACGTTCGGTTCCATGTGCGCCCTTGTATGCGCAATCTTGACCCCCGGGGTTGCGTTGGGGGTATACGTACCCAAATTCCGCGTCCGCAATGACAATATCGAGGTGCTAGATTCTGTGTCCTCACTGCAGCTCAGTAACGGCCTCCTGTGCGTCCTGTTCGATGCTTGCATCAAGCTTCACTATCATGAGCTGGCTTTTGAGACCTATAGAAATCTTTTGTAGTGCATGTGCCGACGCGTATGCTGAGTTCTGCACTGCGACGATGACAGTGTGTGAGGCTTTTGCTAGAAAGTATCGGGTGAGGCCGAGGTCTATGCCTCGATTGGCGCCTGTGATGAAGTTCGTGGTTGGGGCTATGTTGTCAAGGTGAAGATATGATCTTCTTCCTCTTCTAGCATGTTGGTCATAAAGGTTTGACGGTACTGGTGGCTATTGTCAAAAGAGCACGAGGTAGATCTTCTGCTCTACGACAGAATATGTCTCTGTTTTTGTAAATGCGAAGACGCTTGTGATATTTGGAGTATGGGAGAGAGTATGTATATACGAAATTGAGGTGCTAGTCGTTGAAAGAGTATGTATAGGAGCTTACTACTACAAACTACCGCAGACTTCGTCAAGATTTGCAATTTTAAGCCTTAAGTCCTATGTATAAATCAAGTCTATAATCTACAGGCAGTTCGTACATGAGTTTTATCAACAACTGTGCCACATACCCGAATTGAGATTAACCTCTGAGGCTTTTCAGATAGGACGGGCCGGAGATACAGGTGCATGTAGCCAAGCAGCCCAAGGTAAGCACAAAGCAGCATAGCGTGACACTAATTATCGAAGAAGCGCTCGATAATGCACTGCTAGCTACGTACAGTTCAGGCAATTGATAACCCATTCCACTCCGTTGACAATGAGCTCAGGCTGGGTCATCTGCACGAAGTGACCGCTCCCACGCGCAAAAACCAGCTTACCCTTTGTTGAAAGCTCGAGATGTCTCTTCTGAATGCTCTCACTCTTCTCGTCGGCTGTGCTGATCAACGCGCGTACTCTGGCCCTCTGGTCCTCGCTTCCATTGCCTCTCGCGACTCCAGCATTGTACATCCCATTCCAGTCCCTACTTCGCATGCCACCGATCACGTACACTGGCTTTCCGCCCAGCAGCGGCTGCTGCTGATCAAGCCGCTTACTCCGCAACGTCTCGAAGCTCGCAGCGTACTGCTCATCCTCCAGGCGCGCGATCGCTGCGTACCTCTCGGTCGATTCATCGGCCATGAGTGCATCCCATTCGGCCTGCGTCATCTTGTGCTCTTCCGCAAGACCCTTGGCAATGTATGGGTCGATGCCCTCAGAAATAATTTGCAAATCGGGGTCGTTAACGTTTAGCACCCGCGGCATCGACTCATGATTGGCGTCGACAAGGATCAGGCCAGCGATGTGGTTGCCGTTTCCCGTGAGGGCGATGAACTCATTGATGAGCACACCAGCCCAGGAATGCCCGACGAGGATGAGAGGATTGGTTATGGGAGCGTTCTCGACAAGATGCCGAAGATCCTGCGCGATGTTTTGAGCGGTTGGTGGATGTGGGGAAATATCGGAGTGGCGATAACCAGCGCGGTCATAAGTATAGCAGCGCATTGAAGACGAAAGCTGTCGAACCACCGCTGCCCAGTTCAGGCTGCTGCTTGCGACACCAGAAACGAAGATGACTACTGGATCATGTGTACTACTGGGTTCCGGACCGTGGGAGTAAAGCGCGAGGGCGCGAGTGCCATCGACAGCCACCAGTCTTGGAGTAGAGTCTGCGGAGATCATCTTATCGTGGTCCTCTTACGCGCTTGTTGGCTCGGGATTTCGGTGTTGCTACGCGACGCGATGCAAGGTTCGGATGGAATTTCAGACGGAACGTGATACGCCATGCGATCATCTTCTCGTTCTCTTCTTTTGTAGTGACGCGATCGCGACGAGTTTGCAAGCGGCAAATGAGTCGTCACTACAAAGCATAGGATCGGAGTCACAGCATCGAAGCTAGTGTATTCAGGCGCGCCGCATAGCTTATCTCGCGCGAGAAGGCTTGCGCATGGAATTGGCGTAACGCGAGGGGTACAAGTGTCGCTTGGGCGAAGTTCGTAAGGCGTGGCATTTTCTATGGGTCGCGTTTGTAAGCAAAGGGCGCACGCAGGGCCTAACTTAGCTCCAGGCCCGCTGTCGTCCAACGATGTTTCTTCTACAGCACCATCATAGCCCCGCCAGTCCTGCCACGCGCTGCTCTTCATCCGTCCCGCAATCCTGCACGCGCACCAGCGCCGCCACGTCAAGTGCACCGAATATGCCACCGTCATCCTTCCCACGCGGCCTAACAGACGGCAATATCTTGCACCTTAACAAATTTAAGGGTGACGACTACAAGCGCAAAGCAGTCACAGTTAGGACCCTATACCTATTAGGATCGA